TGGGCCTCAAAGCCTTTTTCCTTTAACTATCCCATTATGTTCCAGCAAATGCTATGCCTTCACATATCCGCCGCATAGCCCCAGGACACCTGGTTACTGTGTCCTCCCAGAGGAGATTAACTGTTTAGCATTCCAACAGGTCCCAGTCGCACCTTGAGACACTCCTCAGAGGGAGCCTTATCGGCCTCCAGTCCCGGGGCTTTTCTCTCTTAACTAATGGGAAAAGAGGCTAAATGTGTGTGGGGGGGGGGCATATTAATAGAAATCGGCTTCAGGCAACAGGCCTGTTCTGTGGTCTCTTGTCCCTTCCTCACAAGGGCACCCATGATGGTGTTGAACTGCACTGCTCTGCGGCCTCCGCGTGTCTGTCTTTCTCTAGCACCATTTAATGGATCAAACGTTCAACCCTCCTCTCCCAAAGGGCTGCTTGCCCTCCAGAAAGTCTCCATCAACGCCACTAAGGTCCTTTACTTCCCCACAAGCTCTTTCAAACCGTTATCTACAGCCACGACTTATCTACGATGCATGAAACGCATGCCTCTTCATCAGTTTATATCACTTTTCTATATCCCTTACCTGGAGTTCCTGAGTTCATTTGGCTTAAGACATCTGAGCAACCTCAAGAATTTGTGCTAAATTCAATGGGGATTAAAGGAAGTTAATTTCACCCAGGCACCACCACCACCACCATTCAGTTTCTAAATTTTCACCCAATTTAAGGCATGGGTCTTGGTGAAGAAATTTTAGGTTTGCAGAAGGTGTTTGGATAATGGCTGGTGGATTATAAATAAAATATAAAATAAAACCGGGGTATTGGAAAGCCTCTGCAGCTGTGTGAAACAATGAAAATCTGAAACGTTTCTGGTTTATCAGCGCTTGACCCTTCTATGACTTCTTTTTGGAGAGGATGGTGGAAAGCTAGCACTGGAGAGTCAGCCAGATGCCGAGGGATCACCATGAAACTAAGCTCCCAAATCTTTCACATTGTACCTCTGAACCATGTCATTACATGCCTGTCTCAGAAGGGCCTGAAATCAATAGAAAGAAGTTCAAAAATCACTCCATAAGCAGCTGAAAATCTGCCCTTCACTTTTTTTTTTCTCTGCACCCTGAGGAGTTCTAAATCTTCCTTCATTCCTACATCAAGCCTGAGACACCAGGCTCCCTAGAAGTGTCGTTTTTTTCTGCATGATGTCTGCAGCGTTCTGCCAAGCATCTGTGGGTCTTTAAAGGAAATGTGAAAAGGTAGCAAAGACACATCTGTACAGCAAAGACATGTGGCACAGGGAAGGAGTGCATCAATCAAAGGCAGAGAGAAGCCTGCTAGAAACCTGGAAATCAAATCGTGTCAGAGAGAAGGCCTGCGTGGGAAAATAGATTAGAAGGACGCCGAACAAGAGAGAAGAAAGACAAGCAGCCCCTACCAAAAGTAATGAGAGGCAGAGGGGGCCTGGAGACACAGCCGGGATGAAAGAATCTTGCACTGATGAAGCATGGACTCGCACTCGGATAACGCCATAGCCATCCATCTCCGCTTCACTCTTTGTGTGTTTCGCAACTCTCAAGCCAGAGCTACAGGCACTGAAAGAAATGAAGGGAGGAAGGAGGCATGAAAAGGATGGGGGAGCAGGCGTAGGAATTAGATGAGCAGGGAAACCTCGGTGCCCAGTCCCAACTTTGCAGCTACTGTGCTGAGCGGGAGTGGGGCTGGCAGAGCCTCTGTGAGCTGGGATGATGACACCTGCCTCACACTTATCCTTAGATGGCATCAGTAAAGTGCCAGGTGCAGGCACTGGCACAGATGGGGGCTTCTTAAAGAGCAGCTGTTACTATTATTAAGCAAAATTTAAAAGCAGCTGGACGTTGTCTCTGAAACCTTCCATTTTCATCTGTGACTGTCAGCCTCTGAGTGCTGTCCTAGTTCCTTCTTTTTCTCAAACACTATATTTCAGTTCTCTCCTCTGCTCCAACTCCTATGCTGGGATGGAACAGTCCCTTCATCTCTCAAACAAAGAAAAAATTTTTAATGTAATACTTTGTACATGTTTAACAAAGGCAAACATGAACATGCAAAAATCAAAGTCAGAAAGTTCCATCTACCATCCGGCCACCACCCTTGCCAACAACAATATCTAAGAGGCAAGTCCAAGCCTATCTACACTTGAATCCGAGAAAAGCAGGTGACTTTGACAAATGACTTTGGTGATGTGATTCTGGACTATCCAGAATGCTTCCACTCCAAGAGACTGACCACTCCAACAGCAGTTGCTCAAACAGTAGTAGTACTTCCCAAAACAGACTGCCATGAACAGAGGTTGGAGGGTCAGCTGGATGGATCAAACACCTCACTAAAATCCAGGAGTTTTGAATTTTCATTTACTATCATAGATTGTTCCCTGCGCTGTCACAGACAATTACACTGACCAAAGAAGTCCCAAAGCCAAAAGAGAAAACCCCATGGCATGTCTTTTTTTAAAGCACAAAATTTAGTCTCCAAGAACTCGTCTGTCAGAACTGTGACAAAAGCCATGCCCAAGCCACCCAATGGGCAAAGTCCTACAACCTCTCCATTGTTCTACGGGGAGCAGAAGGGCCTGTCCCATTGAGTCCATGAGAGATTGTACTATTAGTACTTCATACTAAACTTAGTGTGAAAGTGAGAAATGCCTTCTGGTGATGGACTCTGGCCAATGGTGGTGATCATTCTCATCAGACTTTTTGGTCCTGCGGGACCTTTGCAGCCTCGGGTAGCATGCGCTCCTTCTTCTGCAGCACTTGGCATGACTAAGAGGATAAGATATAAATCCCAGCACAGAAACTCAGGTTCTCTAGAAATCTAACTTCATTTTATTTGTGAACTTCACTTCTATTTCAAACCCTCATTCTGCCTGGTGGCGGAAACTTAATGTAAGCCAATTGGGAACTTTATCCCCATTCCCTGAGTAATAAGCACAAGTTAGTTTGTAACACCCAGTATCTGTGGTTGGGCAGTTGTGGTTGTCATTAGGTAGTCATTGCGCAAAAAGATTCCAGCTCCCTCTTCCAAATATATGGGAGGGTTGTACTTCCCCACACCTGGAGTATGGCCACATGACTTGCTTTGGCAAATAAACCGTGAGAGCAAGTGGCATTTCCAGAAGGAAGCTTTTAAGTGCCAATTCATGCTTCTCCCCGTTCCGTTTTTTCCCCTCCTCTGCCATAGACAGTCCCAGCTTTCCAGGTAGAGGCTGCTCCATCAGGTCGCTGGGTGATGGCAGTGCTGACCTAGCACAGAGATTTCAGCTGATCTGCAGTAGACCTATATATCTATAGAGTGAGTGAGAAATGAGGCTTTGGTGTTGAGCCACTCAGACTTGGTTTTGGTGGTGTTTTTGTTACTTGGGCATATTCTAGCCTACCTTCAGGGGATGGCATCCATCCAAGATGTCCTAGTTTCCACCTTGTCTTCAACTTGTCAATCCACACTTGCTGAACCATCTTCCCTTCCCTACCTCAAAGCCTCCTCGGTCCAGACTCTCAGCTGTTTCTGAGCCCCTGTCAGAGGACAGGGACCAGTTTGTTGTCACTGCATCACATTGGGCCATGTGAAATTCCGTGAGGTGTTCAGGCCCATCTGCCCAGACAGTCCATGCCACCTAGAGTCTCATGACTCCCCTGGGGTTTTAACAAGGAAAAGACACAAACCTGCCCCCACCCTAGCTCGGGCTTCCCATCATTCCCCTTTTCCAGGAGGCTTGGGCCTACCCCTTTCCCAAATCCTACCACAGCTGCCTTCTTCTGGCTTTTCCTACAAGTCCTACTTGCGCTATCATTGCCCCCAAACCTGGTCTCAGGCAGGAGGCCTTTTTCTGACTTACTGGTGCCTACCTCCGCCCCCCACCTTCTATTATGCCTGTTTGGTGGTTTTTCCCACCCCCACCTGCTGGGCTTTTGCAACTCAAAAGCCAAGAATTGCCCCCTGTTTGTCTCTCAATTCTGCCAGACCCCTTCTTCCTTACAGGCAATGAATGAAGGATACCCCCAGCTGCCTGAATGGAGCAAGGACCAAGGAAATTAAGTGGTGGTGGCCATGTGTGTGTGTGTGTGTGTGTGTGTGTGTGTGTGTGTGATCTCAATTGATATATCAAAATATTGCTGTGTATATAAGTGTTCTGTCCAACTATGAAGCTGAGAATTACAGGAAGCCTCACTCAGAGGAACCCAGTGTGGTTATTTTAAAGCCACTGTGCAACATCAATGGCCCCATATGAGTATGCTTTTATACAACTGTTATCCTTGCAAAACTTCCTAGTGTGAAAGGCGTGGAGGGTCTTGGGCATGGTATCTCCCCTACAGACTATAAGACCCTTGAGGGCCAAGGCCATATCTTCTGTGTCCTGCAAATCTCCAGACTTTCAGAATTTAACAAATACCCGAAGCAGTTAACTAACAAATGACAGTGACAGTATTCTTATCATACTTAAGTTTTTAAGCAGCAGGATATGCCCAGCCCCGTGGCAGCCACGTAGATCCTGAAAAGGGCCTTCCTTTCCCTCCCCAGTACATTTGAAAAACCCAAGAAATAAATGTAGATCCCAGGGCTTCTCCAAGAGAGGGCATGCAGCATTCAAAAGTCAACGCCTGAGTGGAATACACCTCAAGTCCTGACCTGTGATCATCTACCAGGCCTGGGCGGTTTCCCGTGGGTGGGGTGAAGTAACAAAGTGGCCTTTATAGCTCACACCAATCACCACCTGATGACATTCACTTTTCTAATCTAGGCAAACCACCACATTCTTGGTGCAGAAATGAACAGGCCAGCCCACTCCTGGCCTCCCTTAAACTCTTTATCTGGCCTTGCTAGGGCAAACAAACCACGGAGAGCGCCTGCAAGTTTAGAGTCCGCGTCCTTCACCCCAGGACCCACCCCTTAGCCCCCTCGGGGGCGGGGCTCCAGGGCCCAGGGGCGGGGCGGTGTCTCAGGGGCGGGGCTCCAGAGCCCGGGGACGGGGCGGCAGTGGGCGGGGCCCAGGAGCGGGACAGCTTGGCGCGGGGTCCCGCCAGGGAGCAGAGTCGAGTCGAGCCCTGGGCCGGAAAGTTTTGACCGGGCTTTGCCGGCGGCCAGGAGCGGTCGTAGCGCAGCGGCCGGGCTCACACCAGCGCCCCTCACTGCCCCCGGCGCCTGCGGCCCTTGGGACGTTCGGCCTCCGGGGCGTCTCTCTGGCTGCCATGGCTGCCTGGGCCGCCGCCGCGCGTTTGCGGGCCTTCGGGACAAAGGTGCCCGGCTGGCTCCCGCGCGGCCCGTGGGCTCCGCTCGCCGCTGGTTTCTGCAGCCGGGGGCCGGCGGGGGCCGAACGGCCGGAGCCGGGGCCGCGACCCACCAGCATGCGGCAGCGGGACGGCATCAGGTCAGCGGCCGGGCCGCGGGCGCCCTGCCCTCCGGGAGCGGCTGCGGGCGTGCGGGGCTGATCCCGCCTGGGGTGGACGGCGGGGGCCCGGGGAGGAGAGGGGCAGAGGAAGCCAGGCACTGCGCCCCGCCGCCCGACGCAGCGTCCAGCGAGGGCTGCGTGAGTGGTCAGCGCCGTCGCCGCCGTGGGCCCCGCTGGTCGGTCACTGCGGAATCGGGCCGGAGGGGAAGTCCCTCGGATCGGAATCCCAGATACAGATACGGTGCTTAAACAGGTCTCGTGCGTGGGCGCAGGAGCGTTTGGGACCCTGCAGGACACACACTGGAGGATTTCCAAGTGGGACTGCCTCGGACGGCCCCAGAACCTCCCCAAGCCTCTAGGGCAACCAAGCCGAGTTGTCATTGGGCTCAGTGTGGGCAGCTCTGCTGGTGGCCCCACCAGCGCTATGGCCTTTGAGAAAGCCCCTCCCTATAGGGCTCTGAGCCTCACAACTTGACCGGGCTCCAAGGTGGAGCTGCTCCTAGGCCCGTATCCAGAAGTGCCGGCTCAACAAACTGGATGAAGGGCACGCCGTACTGAGCTCTGCCCTTTGGCTCAACAAGCAGAAATCCCTTAAAACCATACCTGTGCACACAATGGAAACAGGACGATGAAGTCGTAAAGCTTGAAGGGCACCTAGCCCCATCTGGGCCTCAATCTGACATATGCCTGGCCAGGCAAGGGCCCAGCAGGAGGCCCACATAGCAGGTCTAAGTATTTAAAAGTTACAAATCAAGCTAACTGCTAAAGTATGTTTTTAAAGTTTTTAAAGTCTCCTGCCTTGACAAGTAGGCCTTCCTAAAACCTGGAAGGCCATGTTTGAACTTACAGTTCTCAGGCTCCTAGGAGTCCCCCCAAAGCAGTGGAGAGTCAGCTGCTGGCCTGCAGCCTTGTTCTTTTCTTCCCACCCTCTGCTCAGCCCCTTCCACCTCTCCACCCCTCCCTCTTCCTGCTGCTCTGCGAGGGGCTTGGTACACAGGCCTGCAGACACCCCATCTACATGCTCATATTCTCTCTGTTGTCTTACTCCCTATAGACAACATCTCTTGGTCACCCCAGGGCCTAGGGGTGCCCACTGCACAGCCCGGGAACTCAAGGTCTCTGGTAACTGTAGCAGGGTTTGGAATGGGGAGGTGACTTCAGGTGGGCACATCTTGTTATCCCAGTGGTTTCCTGCTCACCTGCAGAGGGCACAGCTGGGAGAGGGCCCAGAGCACCCCAAAGTGCAGGGTCAGGCCGGGGCCCACCTTTTCCATTGTCAAGGTCAGTCCTGCCTCTGCAAATCTGGTTCCATCTGGTCAGAAGCCTGACTTGAGGTATGGCAGCCAGATGACCAAAAGGAGGCCTGGTTGTGCTCTCCAGAGTTAAACATGAATCCAAGAGGGAGATTGACAATTGGAACAGTCTTCTCCTAAACGCTGGGAACCGTTTAGTAGGAAGGAAGCCCCCAGTCCCGCATGAAAGCAGCACTAGGTCAGGCACTAAGCAGGTGAGCCTGAGCAACTCAGTCATGCTCGAGTGTCCCTTTTGGAAGCTGTTCCTCTCAGCAGCAGCACTGTCATGGAGTGAGGGCCAGCCAGGAATTGGGTGCTGCAGCAGGCACAGGTGGAGCTCTGTGGATGGCTGGCATTTAGGGGTTAGCAGAAGGCTAGGAGCACATGGAAGAAGTGGAGGGCAGGCCGGAGAAAGACTAAAAAGCCAGGAGGGGAGGAGTGCGTTTCCAGAAAGAGAGCATAATCCAAATAGCCATTGGATTTGGTTCTGACAATTATGAGCTGCTCGGGGAGAACGGTTTTAGTGGAGGGCAGGAACAAAGCCTGGTTACACTGGGTTAAAAAGTAAACTCAGCAACTTAGAGCTCTGACAGGGTGTAACATGCGATCCAAAGGATTAATGGGACGCATATGAGCAGACACTGCCATGCAGCATAGGCCTTTGGGGGCTGGCATCTTTTTACACAATTTTGCCTGAGGCCTTAGAATTTAATTTAAGCATATGTCATGGATGGGATGGCAGCTTTTTTAGTTTGCTACAGCAAGCACCCTCATTATTTTACTGGAAGGTTTATCAGCCGTTCTCTCACCACCACCCCATCCCCACCAAAAAAAATTCAGGCTTCAAAGTCTATCAGCATATCAGCTGCAAGTCATTTTTGTACTTAGGAGAGAACATGTATATAAGAAACAGCGATGAATATCAGAGCCACCTGAAGATGGCAGCAAAACAGAAATGGCATTCCAACGAAAATGGTAGTCTTACTGCACTGAAATAAATTCAGGCATCAAAGTGGTTTTCCAGAAAACAGCGGCAAGGAGGCTATTTATGGAGGATCCAAACTGACACATAGTGATTGGAATATCAGATTTTTAAAAAAGAATCAGGAAGGCAGAAAACGTGGGTAGAGACTGATGGGAAACATATAAAACGTGTAACAATAATCTGGTGTTTGGCTCCTGCCCATCCTTATAACAGCAAAAAGAAGACATTTCTGTGTGTAGACAGTAAGAAGAAATACAGGTTCTTTTAATCAGCAGGTGGGTACCTTAAAATAGCGAGCAGGCTTTTGAATGCCAGCTTCTAGTGAGGTGACATGTCCGGAAGAGCCCTCTTGCTGGAAGGTTCTGTCCTTTTGTTCTTCACATAGCATCCCATTCTCAGACAGCATGAATTACTGGGCAGCATTCTAGGAGGCCACTATAGAAAATGGGGAAATGCTGTCATATATGCGTATGGGCAGCTGCACCTTGGCTGCCTCTTCTGTGGGGTGGGCGGGAGGAGATCTAGGGGCGCCTTTTCATTCTTGGCTCTTTTCCTAGCCTTATTCTTTCTGAAGAACAACGCGAAGAAGTAAGTTGAGGGGAGCACTGGGAGCACTGTGTGTCAGATGCCTCTGGCTCCTGCCATCGCCTGGAAACCTTGCAGACTCTAAGTATGGGCCTGCGACGATTCTGATTTACCCTTCCTGTTGAGGAGGCAGTAATGTTTCTGACAGCAAACCTGTAGAAAAAGAGCAATACATCAAGGGAAGAGGGAGAAAACCCAGCCTGCATTTCAGGAAGTCTCCTTGTTTTGACTTAGCTGTAACTCTAAGCACCCGCAGTTCTCTTTCCCGGTGTTTGAAAAATAGCCCAAATTAGAAAGGAATTGCAGGGGTCCTCACTTGTTTTGACTGGTGCATGACCCAGTAATTATGAAATGTTCTTTGCAGGAGCATTGTCTTGAGCGATCCAAAGAGGAGGAATGCGTTGTCACTGGCAATGCTGAAATCTCTCCAAAGTGACATTCTTCATGAAGCTGAAAGCAAAGATCTGAAAGTCATTATCATTTCAGGTACTTATCTGGTATCCATCCTCGGGGCTCTGCAGTACCCAGAAGAGGTTTCCCAACATTCTTTGGTTTACTGGGGCGTTCCCTCACTTAATGGAAGAAAGGTTTTGAAGGTCCTTTACAAAAACATTAATTATGGAAAACTTTTGTGTAGTGGGGGCCTTAATGAAAGTTATAGCAAAGATTACTGTGCAGTGAAAATACGTGTCTTTTTCTTTTTGTTGGATACAAAACATTGACTGTGCTGGTCTTCCCATCAAACTCAGAGAATTGGTTTCCTCATGGACCTGATTAAGACGGGTTTACTCACTTATCCTGTGGGTAAACTACCGAGTCGGCTGGGGCGAAGCTGCTAGGGCATTTGATTGGTTTGTCTTTTCTCTTCCTACCAAGCTTTCAGCCAGTACCTGCAAGTCTTCTTCAGTGCTGCCAGAAAGGGTGCCCCATTTTCCTCATTGCTTTTCTTGCTCTTTTCCAGTAAACATTTTTACTGAATTATATAGCAGCATAAACAATGTCAGTGTCAGCATTTTAAAGCATCTGCAGAACAATAAAATGGATGGTGCTCTGTGATGTACTTTTGTTGTTATAGAAATTAACGATCAGCGTTTCTCGAGGCAGATACTCAGAATATTACCTTCTTATCTGTGGTTGAATATAAGTTTTCGAGTGTTTTATATGGTGAAGGGAAAAAAAATAGGACAAATATATTTCAGCAGCCATGGGGATGTAACCCGGGTGACGCAAAATTAGCTGCCCGGATGGCAGCTAAATTCCAAACAACACAATTTCCTCACTTGTTTAAAGGGAATAATGTCAAAACAGCCACAGCAAAGGAAAATATGAGAAAGTATTACCAGCTTATCAGTGGAACTACATTTTGTTATTGTTGTTAATGACAACAATAACAAATCACATCCTCAGGTCCCCTGGTAAAAAATAAAGGTCACACTCTGACCTCCTGATTGCAACCCGTATGGGTGGCTGTTATCTGTAGACTAAATGACAGGGACACTGCCGAAGGCATGGTGGATTTTGATGAACACGTATGAGTCAATATGTCAGGGCAGACCAAGTCCATAAACAAAAGTGTGAGGTCAGAGGGATAACTCTGAAAAAAGTCCATTCGCCTTCATTACTGAGCCTACTCCTTTGTGTAATTGCATGTTTTCACTGGTTTCCACCACAGACCTTTTAGAGCACAAGTGCCTCACCTTGCATTGTCATCACAAAATACTGGCTGTGACTTTTCAAACTAACTGGAATTGCTCTTATCGAGATTGGACCATTAACTTTCTCTAAGTGTCCACAGCACTGATACACAATTGTTCACTAAAATTATTCAGTAGACAAATAATTGAACTTCCTAGCTCTGCTGCTTAAACCTTTTTATTTTATCTTCTCAACTGGAAACATTTGCAGCTGAGGGGTCTGTATTTTCTTCTGGGCATGATTTGAAGGAACTGACAGATGAGCAAGGTCCAGAATATCATGCTGAAGTATTTCAAACCTGTTCTGAGGTAAGCCAGGAGGACGGTTAGTATTGTAAGCCTAAAAATGATCATTATACATATTAAATATTGAATTAGGCTTCTAGTTTACAGGCAAGGTTTTATCCATGAGACCTCGCCACTACAGAGCTCCTGAAAATCCTCTATGGTCCTTGGTGAATTCTTCAAGCAACATTTGGTTTAGACATTTAAGAAGCGACCACAGTTTGCTATTGATCTTGTGTTATAACAAAGAAAGCAAAATATGTGCTCATATCAATAGCTGCCATCTCCAGCATCATGGATTATGTCTTGGTATACGTGCCTTAAATAAGAGGTAAAGGGTGGAAATGTACATCTTTAGAGAGAAAGAACCTAAGATTATTATAATTAAAAAAATGTTAAACTAAAACAACTCTATTAATGGGAAAAAGCATTCATAAATGGAATAACAATAATGATTTTAAAAATTATTTTCAAACAAATTTTATAATCACCACCTCCAAGTCGGAACATCAACCACTTCATTCTCACTTCTGTCTCTTTAACCATATTCAGGAGGGAAATTGCCAACAGACACAGAAATGGAAGAATAAAAAGTTTGGGATGATTTATAAATGTATCAAAGCAACCCCTGGATAATGAAAAATTGAATATAGAATCCAACTTTAAGTAACACATAGCTCATTTCACGAGTATTTATTGAGCACCTGCTGTATGCACAATACTTGCAAGATACTGAGGGAAATAGAAGGAAAAAAGAGTTTCCTGCCAAACTGAAAATGGAAATCTAGTTGAGAAATAAGACGTATAAAACAGTTTCATAACCTGACCCTAAGATGACTTAGCCTAATTTTTCACTCATTGACTTGATTCAACAAATATATATCTCTTAAATATATAATGACTCTTAAAATGTGTATACATTTTTTGGCACCCTCAGTATAACGATACCTGCTATCTAGACAAGACAGAGGTGGGTAACAGGAGGGGAATGGAAGGTGATTAAGACACCTTCTTGACCGTCATTTGGTTTCCTTGCCCTTCCGGAAACCCTCAGCAACTTGAACTATCGTTTTCTCATTTCATGGAGGGACAGTCTGGACAAGTAATTGACTTGAGGCTTCATGAAGAGGAGGAAGAGCTAAGAAGACTAGGTCTTTTGGTTCACATTAATGATTAAGTAACATTCTGTTCCTGTGTTTGCCAAAGCTTGGTGCTTTAGAAGTTATTTTTCTATTGATACCCAGTATGTTTGACCAAAATAGAAAATCGTCAGAGACAGCCAGTAGAGCCCTTCCACCTCCCTACAGGGCCTGCTTTTATCACTCTGCCAGGGGCTCTTCACAACTGAGAAATGAACCGGTTACCAAAGGGCCCCGGGAACCAGGGCTTCTTCAGAGGATAAAGGCCAGATTTCATGGAAGTGTCCAAGCCCTGACACCTCTGGCTCACTGAACGGCGCAGCGCCTCAGCAGGAGCGAGCCCTAATGCAGTCAAACAGGAGTGAAAGTGCATTGATTTCTTTAACACTTTTCCCAAGAAAATCAAGTTGTCCTGGATAAACAGGAGCGCCATTATTGTGTCAAAGATTTCAATTTTCAAGTGTAATCAACAGGCAGATTGGACCAGAAGGAGCTAGATATTTCACGTTGGGTTCATGCATGAGAAAGCTTGATTTTAGAAAGGAAGCTAGAGATATCTGAATTGGCTCAGCATCTAAAATCTATAGCGAACTTGCTACAGACCACAAGCATGGCATGATAGTTAATTTTTTACAAATCAGGAACAGGGCAAATTGAGAATGAGAAAAAGCACTTGGTTTTGGGAGAGTGATGGTCACCTCTGTGAGCTGAGCCAGTGGCTTTCACTACACACCCATCCATCTCTCTTCCTTTACCCCTAAACTATAACAAAAACATTCACTATATTTCTTTTTAATCATTTTTCCATGTATACCTATTTGTTTGAATAATCATATGTAGGTAGGATTATACTGTGTCATTGTGTAAATTTCATTTTAATGAGAACACAGCATCCCATTAAATGGATATAGTTTAGTTTATATAGCCATTTACTTATTTTTACATATTTATATTATTTACAAATTTTTTATTATTTTAGTGATGATTTGATGAATATCTTTGTCCAAAAAGCTTTTTAACCTGTATCAGATTATTTCTTATTCGTACAATTCCTAGATTAAAGGCACGACTATTTTTAATTGTTGATATATACTGGATACATATACAGGCCTAAGTATTTTCACACCAGGTGGTATGGAATCCTAGCCCTTTGTAGGTGGCAGACAGGAGACTGTTCAACTCTAATCACCATTCAGTTGACTTTTCTAAAGCAGCTGTACTTCATTAGTAGCAGGCGACACTCAAAGCTAAAACAAAATCTTTTCTTTCTTTGCAGCAAGACTTCTGAAGTTCTTGTGTGTTCTTCTCCTTGTTTCCACAGTTCATTGTGAATGAGCTCTGTCACTAACCATCCCCATCGTCACCTAGAGTGCATGAACCCCCTCAATCCATGAACAGTTTGGGGTACAGGTTTATCCATGTACATTCTTCTGGGGAGAGGTCATTATCTTTGGTCAGATTCTCAAAAGGTGACCCCCCGAAAAAAGTCAAGACCACTACCATAGAATATGATATCATGTCCTTAAATGTATAATTGGATATTTTATAAAAGAGCTGACAATTATCAAATGTTGACGAAAAGTTCCTTGGGCCAAATCAATGAAGGTCGTTTTTCCTTGAGTTGCCATCATGGGAAACAAGCCCAGATGTAGCTCCTGTCCTCCTCGCCTCCCTCCCTGCCGGGGTTCAAAGAGCAACCATCTATAAATTGAAGTTACCATAGCAACGCAATCTGTGTACTGGGTGTCATGAAAAAATGGAGAAATAAACCAAGTTATTTCATAAGCTGAAAAATAAGTTAAAGATCTGGAGACTGATGAGAGGAAGGGAGTGTCACAGGAACAAGTGCTCAGCTCCTCCTCCCTGTGGCATGGCACTGCTTTAGGAATTTTGTTTATTGTGATGACAGCAAGCTGTTCCCCCTTATTTTAACAGAATTCAGAGAGTATTCATGGTGGTCATTTGAGAAGTAATTACTATGGAAATTGCCTTCCAGTCCCTTTTCCACCTTAATTTTTTGAGGAAGGTCCAAATACCAGTTTCAGACTTTAACAGGAGAGCCCCACACAGGCTCGCTGAGAACAGAACTATGTGCTCCCCAGAGATGAAATCAGCTCTGTTCAGTGGCGTTGCTAGGGAGGCAGTCGGAGGGGACCGGAACCTCCCGGAGGCATTGTGCTGGGCTGGACAGACCAGGGGCTGGGAGTCGGACAGGTGGGGGTTCAGACCCGCAGCCCCCACCTGTGGGTCTCATGGCCTTTGGCCAGTTCCTTCCCCCCTGAGCCTTCACGTCTTGGTGTAAAATAGGGTTCCTTTCTCCTGGGAATCTCAGGGAGATCACATGGCACAGTCTGGTTCATAGTCGATATTTAATGCAAGCTAGTTCTCTTTGTGCCTTTTTTTTACCCTTTTTCATAATATGCGGTACAGGGATGCATATGCAAAGCTCTCTGAAACTGTACAGTCCCATGAGATGATATGCAGCGATGTTGTACCACACTCCTGGATGACGTGAACTGGGCGTGTTTGCTCCTTCAGGTCATGATGCGGATCCAGAGCCACCCCGTCCCCATCATTGCCATGGTGAACGGCCTGGCCACCGCCGCCGGGTGTCAGTTGGTTGCCAGCTGTGACATTGCTGTGGCCAGCGACAAGTCCTCATTTGCCACTCCGGGCGTGAACATCGGGCTCTTCTGCTCTACCCCTGGGGTGGCCCTGGGGAGAGCAGTGCCCAGAAAGGTAATTCACCCCTGCAGCCCCCATCTGGTTGGAACCCTCCAGGGCCTGTGAGGTCAGTTCCAGAATTCACTTGTTAAGGTGCTGTGTGAACCAGGACATTCAGCCCAAAGCATGGCGGGCTGATGGGCCGCAGTGTCCTCCTGTGTCATGTCGGGGAGGGAACAGGCAGCTGTGTCCCTCGGCAGCTTCTCACAGCGCGCTTCACGTTGTCATCGCACACTTCACTCTTGCCTGCCCCTCAATGTGGCCAGTTAGGGTTTTGGATTTGTTTGGTTTGTTTTCATAAAGGCACACTTTTTTTGTAATCTTATTTGAAATGCAGCTGAGACTCAGTTTTGTTGCACTGAAAGGTTGCCCATGAGATGCAATAGCACGGTGACATATGCCAGTGTGAAGAGGCTAGGATATGAGTGTCACTGGCTTGTTGTTTGCCAATGGTCTCTCTTATTCCAGAAAGGATTGAAAGTAGCTGATAGACTGAGTATGTCAACTTCATGATGTTGTATTTCAGGAGCGTGAACATCCTGTGCCTGGTATGTTGAATCTGCCCCACAAGCAGCAACATTATAAAAGCTGTTTTGTCGTTACTAACCACAGTGAAGTCTGTTTTCTTCACAGAGCTTTCTTCTTTCCTATAATGTCATAAAGTAATATTTACTGAACATCTCTTAAGGAGAAACCAGTAGTTTCCTTGTTTTAGAAAAAATACTTCCTCATTCTCACTTGGAAATCTGTTTTAAAAAACGTAGTGGGGTGGGGATGGGGGGTGGGAGGTCATATACCACCATAGCAAGCCAGGAACCTAAACTACCTTCTAGAATACCATATCTATTTTAGCATCGACTATGAAAATTAGCAGTTGCTTATGTGCCTGAGGCACCAAAGAAACAAGACCCAAGGGAAATCAAGCCACAGGACCAAGACATTTGGGGAAGGCCACCTTTCTTTCATGGTGCTCCCTCATTAGTTTTCACAGAGGTGTGTGTGTTTGGGGACATTCTGAAGACAGATACCTGCAAACACACATGTGGGAAAACTGTCTGAACATGGGCTCCACACCGCAAAAGGCAACCTGTCAAAACACAGAGCTTGTGACAGTGTCTTCAGGCCAAGGTGGTGTTTTGATCCTCTCAGGATACACATTTCCCTTAAATGTATATCCATTAATTCAATAAATATTTCTTAAGCCCCTACTTTGTGCCAGTACATTAAGTTAAAATNGGTGGTTTGTTTTTTTCTTACTCTGAGAACAAGAAAAGGTAGGATTCCTGCCTAGGTAGTGTGGCAAATTCATTGCCTAGGAAAAAAATTCTATCAGAAGTGACTATTACATTCAGCAGCTAACATTTTTCAGTTGTTGCCGTGTTTGCTGCTCAGCTGCATTTCTCCTCAATTGACTCTGACTGAATACTCCATTTCAATGGAGATATGAATAAGGGAAATAAGGTTTTTTGAAAATGTATTTAGTGGGGGCACAGATTTATACTGCTGATTATATTTTCTTTGGTCTGATCTTAAACTTATATTCCCTGAGCACACAGGGAATGCTGACGGCAGAAATAGGGGCGTTCTTGCCTCATGTTAGCATTAATGATTTCTTGACATTCAGAGCTCAGATGTTTAATCTGAGACAGCCCTTCTCTAACCACCTAATCTAGTCTTCTGTCACACCATCCGCCATCTTCATTTCATCCTCTTCTTAGCACCTACAACCCTGATTTTCTTTCTTTTCTGGTTTTTTTTTTCTTTACTTCCCCCTCTTTCTCTTCTTTGTCTGTTTTCCTGCACTAAAATAGAAGCTGCATGAAGCAGAGGCTTTGTCTGTCTTGTTCATCTCTGTATCCCTTGTTACAAGGACATGGCTGCCATAAAGTAAGCACTCAACTGTTTAGAGAATAAACAAGTGAATGAGCAAATGAAGGGATAAAAGAATGAGCTCTCTCCAAGGAGGAAAAGGATTGTATCTTGATTCTGCAGTTTCCATCTTTGCACTGAGAGCTCTTCACAATCAGTGAAAGGACTGCAAAAGGAATCAAGGCCAATGAGAAAGAATTCTTAACAATGAAAAAAAGAGAATAAAAAAGAAGCAAGGATGCAGCATGGAAATTCAAGAATTTCCCTTGAAAAAATTTCAAAACAAAACAAAACCTCCTCCAGTGGTAATTTCATCTGTTTGTGGCAAAGATTTGTTTTATCTCATATATATTTACATGCCTTGTCCAACTGGGTGTGTAATACAGTTTTAGGATGTACAGACATATTTTACCAATATGTTTTCTCCAGCACGCTCAGCCACTCGATGGCAGGTGAAAGCCGACTGCTGCTTTAGTCCAGGGTTGGGGTTTGAGTGGATGGGGCTCCCTGAGGACAGGTGTGAGGCTAAGGAAGGCTCTGGCAAGACAGTAAGTGTAGTGGTCAATCAGGGGTTCAAACAGAGCCTGGAAACCAGAAAGTCCAGATAGGAGCTAATATCTCACACGGAATTG